TGTGTGTGTGTGTGTGTGTGTGTGTATCTATCGAAACTATCGGCTATTCGTTCGTCAGCTTGTCCTCCTATAAATATATATATTTTTGTGTATCCTTCCCCCTGTGTGATCTGTGATTGGAAAAATATAACTCCTTGGAGGAAGATACAACCACTCGCTTTTTTCCTTAAATTTTCCTTTCCTCCAAACGTTTTATTAGTTATCTCTAAAGCAATGGGCAAGACAAAAACGAAAGTGGAGTTCTTTGTCATTGCTTTACTCTTTCTGTAATCGCATTCATGTTTTTTTTTCTCCTTTTTATCTACATCTTTCTTCTCTCCTTTCTTCTTTTTCCTGGGGTGTCAAGAAAGAGGAAATTGCCGTCTAGACCGTAGAAGACTGAATTACCTTTCCTCTTTCATTAAAGCGACAAAATATTTCGTCAACGCTGAAACGCTGAAACGACCAAACAAGAGCAGGTGTCTTTGTCTTCCGCTGCAGCTTGGCATGGCTTTTTGTACTTTCTGCTTTGTCGAGCTCGAAGGAAAAGGCAGGAAATTGTGTGCCTTTTTTTGGTGGAATTTTGTTGTTTGTTTGTTTGTTTGTTTCTGTTTTTGTCTTTCGGGGTTTTCTTTGTTTTGTTTTGTTTTTCCTATCTCTTTTTAATGTGTGGTTGTTGACTTTGTTGTTTGTTTGTTTTATTAACTGTTTGGAAAGCTACTGATGTCCGAATCAGTGGAGTTGTTATTATCTTTTCACTGATTGGGCCACTACTTTTTTTTTTTCTTCAAGTGCCGGTTCCAGCGTCCGGGAAGTAATTGTTAGGTAGCCTACTGTGTTCGGAACCAGGAGAGCAATATAATAGAGCCTCTGCGAGTAAATACCGAGCGAGCGAAATGGACTTAAGCACAAAACTAGCAAGAATCATTCCTGCGTTGAAAGATAGTTTGTGGGTGGTTGACGGGTGCTCTGGTGTGGTTTGCTTCTTATTTCCTATCAAACATCTATCGTCCTTATCTCCCTTTCATCTTTTTTATGTTTGTTACTCTCTTGTAACACCTCTAATCTTCTGGCGCTCATATGACCTTATGCAGTTGCGAGCGCCGTAAAACCTCTAATAAAACTAAACTAAAAGATAGTTTTCACTCTTAGCCTGGACCCATTGTTTGTTTAATTAATAGATAAACACTGGCGTGTCCTTACAGGCCAACTCCCGATAATGCAAAAAATACCCCAAAGTTAACAACAACAAACAACAACAACAAACAACAACAACAACAACAACAACCAGGGTAACAACAGCAACAACCAGGGTAACAACAGCAACAACAAAAACTACTACAACAACAACAACAACAACAACAACAACAACAACAACAACAACGACAACTACTACTACTACTACTACAACAACAACAACAACAACAACAACAACAACAACAACAACAACGACTACAACAACAACAAAGTTCCTTATCTAGTGCAAAGTTGTGGGACAACATAAAATCTCAGATATATTCCAATTTGTTGGGAGTTCCCATTCTCCGTCGTAGCACATACAATACAACGGATGGTTGTGGGGCACCACTGGTAGGTCTTACTTCTTTACTTTCCCTTTGTTGTTTCTGTCTGTCTCACTTTCTCTGAGTACTAAATGACCATTATTGTGCCTATGTGCTTCTCTTTACTCAAACAAACAAGCATTCAGTACTTCTATGTATGTGGTAGACTGCCAACAAATTTGGCAGTGCCCACGACAGACCTTCACACCCAAAGAATAGCTGTCGATAAAGGTAAAGTTGAGCATGTCATTCGGAACTTAAATTCACCAACTGAGCGCGTCCAGGATCCCCACGCTCCTTGTGGGCCACACGCTTTACTCTGTTTTAAGAATTCTGGGTCAAAATTGTACTTTTACCCGCTTTCCAGTTTTGAACGAACTGTCACGGCTAGAACAAGGCGTGGGGGCCGATAAAATTAAACGTTTCTTTAATCTTTAGTATGACAATAATCAAATATAGTTGTCGACGTGGAAAGATAAGTTGTGCAATGTCGGCTCAGACCAGCCCACGAGAACTCGAAACGTTGAGGTCACGTTTCTATACTTACAGTATAGGTTGTGGAGGCTGTTAACGACTTCTTGACAGTGAGCTGATGTAGTCATGTCGGAAACTCTCTCTCTCTCTCTCTCTCTCTCTCTCTCTCTCTCTCTCTCTCTCTCTCTCTCTCTCTCTCTCTCTCTCTCTCTCTCT